GACATAAGCTTACTGACTTTCTGCCTATGGTAAGAAACTCCTCCCACGGGTATGCAGATTTTAAACCCATGGGTTTAACCTTAAGTATATGCTTTGCTTGATTGGGACCTTAATATTTCATTATAGTGGCAAATTCTTTTGAAGTGGCTACTGCCAAAAGAGAAATAGTCCACCTAGTTCAACAGCGATCGCATCCCATTCAATGTTTTTTATATTACAAAACATATTTACTAATATTGTCTAACACTGCATATCTGTATTCAGTATGCCTGCAAACGGATTTTACTATTAACATACATTCGACCTCAGAACTGGGACTCAACGCCCTTCATTTATATCACAGAATTTGGCTGAAAAGGTGCTTTGTGTCAGTAGTTCACACTCACTTCAGACTCCCATTAACTTTAATGGGAGCTTTAGGGATTCAGTATCTCTGCAGATCAGAGCATAAAAAAGCACAGAATTAGAATTTAAGATGGAGGTATCAATTATATCTATATCTATCTATCTATATATATATATATATGAAGGACTGTCATTACCTTTCACCACCAAACTTCCAGTGCTGCTAGCTGTCCCAAAATGGTTTGTTGCTATACAGGTGTAACTTCCAGCATCTGATTTTGTTACATTGACAATTCTAAGGCTCCCATCTTCCAAAACTGTGATTCTGGAAAGGCAGTCAGGCATGAAAATTATTTTTTTAAGGTTAGCATAAAATTCTTTTGAGTCTGCATCAATTATTTACAGTTTGAACAGTCCATTGCCAGTTACAGATGGGATTCAACTGATACAAATCTCTCAGGGCCCAGTTCATACATACTGCATGCATCATTTACATGAGGGGGTTTTTTGTTTTTTTTTTGTATCTTCACTTGAGGGCAACTTTAATTTACACACTGGCAATTTGTGCAGTTTGAAGTGAATCTGTGCTTTGATACTCAGTGCTCCCAATGACAACTACAGCAACGTGTGGCGCACAAGCTACCTCTAACAATCTAGAGATACTCACTGCTACTGTAAGAGCTTTCATGTACTACATTTTGATTTGTGTTCATTGATTTTTTTTTTCCTGCAAGTTTTCTAATGTCTGTTCAAGTGAGGGTGCCAAACTCAGGATGCATTTCCACATCCCAACCCCATGCACAATGTATACTTACCAGTCATGTGATTCAACTGCACCGCTCATCCGTGTTAGCGAGCCCTTTCCATTAACCCCCTCCCCTTGAAAAACTCCTGGCGTGTTCAGGGGCACACAAGAATTGTATAGCAAGGGACAGTTGAAGAACCGAATGCAGTGAATGGATTCCTGCCCCGCTCCCTTCCATTTATTACATTAGTTTTGTTCCAGGGCTAACTGCACGGGCTTTTTTACTGCATCATAGATCACTCATTTTCTTTTTCACTGCTGTCACTCTGACTTAAAATACAGAATATCCATATTCTCTATTGCAAAACTCTCTGTATCATAAGCTAGGTCCATGAACTGGGGCACCAAAAAGTGTGGAGAATATTATTTCACGTGCCTTGAGACTGCAGGTACTCAGGCTTTTATGGTGTTTGGTTGACACCTAATTCAGGATGCAAAATGCAAGTGATTTACCGCATTCTGAGGAAAGCTGGCACCTTCTTGTATGCTGTGGGGTTACTGTCACCCAGCATCCACGAAAAAGCATGCATTTTTTCAATGAGCATTTTGCTTGTGGATATCTGATTTTCTGTTACAATGCTCCCAAGTTCCTCCTTCAAGTGTGTTTGCTTTCTCTTTCTAAAATTAACTCTTCTGACATCTTGTATCCCTAATCATACTATGGGGGTGATATCTGTTAAAGCACAACCACATCTGTCTGGTGCAGTAATTCTGCCAACCCACAAGAAAGACCATGTTTCAAGATTCCCTAAGAATTTCCCTCCCTTTGAACCCTCTCCAAAGGAGACTTCACACCGACACTATTGACTCGACTTAGCAGCACGGTGCCTTTCCCCAAGTCATTGCCCTTTCCTTCTTCAGTCAGAGACCTCAGGAACTTCTCTGCTCCAAGATACCATGATTGGGCCAACATTCACGGAGCTGAATGAACCTTTCCTGTGCAGAGTAGGTAAGACAGGACAATATTTTTCACTAAGGCTGAACTATTTGTTTTCAGTGACCCAGTTGTGGTTAGCCCAGATTATTCATGAATTCGGACTGAATCCATCACAGTTTTGTTTGAATTTTTTTTTTTTGGAGAGGAAGATGAAGTGACAGCGGATTGTGGTCCCATAGGATATTCCGGGGTTGGAGGTCCTCAGTCTCTCTTGTTGATGCTATTCCACTTTATATAAATACTTAAATATCTAGTGGTTACTAGACTCTAAGTTCCACCTCCCAGGGATCGCCTGAACAAACAGACTACAGAGGAGTCCTGCTTATGCTGTCCTGACCATTCAGTATTCATGCCGTATGTGTGCCCACTTTTAGCCTGGGGTTTCTCAACACAGACAAGCTATGACTGGGAAACTGCTGCAAACTGGAAACAAACCCTGAAAACATACCGTTTGGTGTTAGATTATGCTGATTTTCTCCCCATGTTTTGGTTAGGTCGCAAACAACAGATAATGGCTCTGCTCCTTTCTGGCTAAAGCATGCGTGTGAAATGGGTGTGGAGTTGTGCCCCAGTGAGAGGGGAAAGAAAACTCAAGTCAGACTGCACATTTGATGGCGAATTTATTTCAAGTCTGTGACATTTTTCCATTCATATGGGCTCTGTTGTACATTCTCCTCCCAGAAACAGTGTTCAGTCAACATGGGTGTTATAACTGATCATTGCACTCTTAAAAAAAATATTCCTAAAACACACAGGTCTCTGCAAACATTTTAGCTTTGTTCAGTAGCCTTTTCTGAACCTACAGATGATCTTTCGCATAGTCCCAAACCAGCTTAAAAGGAGTTCATGCCTGGTAATCTGTTAGAAGAAAAGACATTTGCCATAAGCCAAGTAGGAACATATTTCATATCATCACTCCTTACAGAACATAGAAACTAAGTCTTGTGGCATGGAATAAAATTTACTTGATGTAGGGGCTTCCTGATACAGTTGATGCCCTGCTGTTTGAAAGCGCAGCCTGCTAATGATTGGCATGATCAGATACTTTGGGAAACTTCTTGGCAGCAGGGTATATGCTACTCAGGTGGGTCTAGTCAATGTATTCCAGTCTGAAATAAGACTGATTACCATTTCCATTGCACTGCTGGTGACAACAGCAGATGAGAAGAGATTAGGTGTGGTATATCATTACATATTTGCTATCAATGCGTCACAGCATAAGCCCCCTGGAGAGAGAACATATCACACATTGCCCAGTGAGCTTTCAAGCCTTTCTTGATTTAGGATCATTCAAAGATCTGGTGAGCTTTACTAGTAAATAAGACGGAGATAGCTGAATGCTCTTTCCAGAAAAAGTGTGTTCAGGATTTTGAAGGAGCGTAAGCCATTATTCATCTCTGTTGATCTCCCCTCCAGCTCGATGGAAATCGGTGGTGCTCCCTGTCCCTCTAAAGTCCACAGTGACCAGGAAGAAACATTGTAGAGAGGCAAGAAACATAATAAAATATCAATGGGCATTACTATCAGCATGGTGATTTAGAACATAGGTTGGGGGGCTGGGAGGGACCTTCTACATCATCAACACATCACTATCTATTGCCAGCAACCACAGCATTCAAGTCCTTTCTTAAATTCAAAAAGCCTTGTCTTAAACGTAGTTTTATACTAAATATTGGTCCCCATTAGTTCTATTAGCAGCTGTTCCAGGATCTCACTTGTCCAATGGTTAGAAAAACCTTGCTCCAATTTTCAGCCTAAATTTTATTAGTTTGTACCTATTTATTTTTATGCTTACACTGCCCTTTCTCCCTTGGTGTGTAGCTCCTGGCAGACAGTCATCCTCCCAGCCTTCAGTTAGCTGGGCTAAATACATCCAGCTCTTTTAGGCTCCACTTGTAAAACAGACTCTGCATTCTCCTGACCACCCTAGACACATTTGTTCCCATTTTAATTAATCTTTTTTGAACATGAGTGACCAGAAATATACTCTGCCTTCCAGTAAATGTCTTACTGACGCCTTATCCAATGACATTAATTCTTTCTCTAGAAATATCTTGCTTGATACATTTTAGGACCACATTTGCTTTTTCCTTGCCTGTATCACACTGCTGGCTCCTAGCCATCCTATGATTACTATCATACTCAGATCTTATTCCTCTTCCATTGGTATTTCTAGCAGACAAGCTCCCATCTCATAGGAAAAATTATTGTTGTTAGTCTCCAATTTCACATTTATTAAAATGTGCTTGATTAAATTCACTGATTCTCTTTCTCCAGTCCTCAGCATGATCTATGTCTTCCTGCATGATAAACTGAACCTCTTTCCCAACCTTGTGTACTCAGAACATTTTAATAGCACTTCTACTTTTGTTCCAAAATCATCTTTGACCCCTGAGTAACTCTGCCAGCAAAGCCCACTGTTTATCAGTTAGGCTGTTCCTTACTCACCTAACAATTTTTTGTTCTCTACTAAGTCATAGCTAATTTCCCAATTTTCCATTATGTGAATATGGCTGCAAAAAGCCTTCCTGCATCATAAGCATACCGCCAAGTGTTGGATGTAGAAAGCAAGAGAGAAGAGACTTAGCAAAGATTATTTGCACCCAGTGCAAAAATACGAAATGCTTTAAGAAGGCACCTAGTGTGACTCCTCAGCAGATGGCAGCCAGGCAGTCAGGAGAGACACAGCAGATTTCTTTGCAGAAAAATCTTGGGAGAGGCACAGAGGAAGTTGAATATATGCCAGCCAAGCTACATATGAAAAAGTCAGGAAAAGGAAGAGAGCTACCTGCCTTAAAGAAAAGTGTAGCTGTGTTAAAATGCAGCAGAAGTCCTGCCGTATATTTTTAACTAGAATCCATCATTTCAGTCAGCTTTTAATCTTCTGTCATGACATCTATGGATGCATTCTTCTTGTCATTTATTACTGTGTGCTTATATTCGCCCGGCCCTTTCCCAGGTGGAATCCCTTGGGAAATGCTTCCTCTGGAGGGATCAAGATGAGTTCACAGCACATCTGTCCAAGGCATTTATGGAAAATTCTCCGGAGTCTGCACAGTTGGATATGACAGCTACCGACAGGAGTGCAGTCACTGCTGAGTCCAATGAGACATTTCACTCATGGGGGGCAGTGCTGAAGCCAGGCCTCATGTCAGTTGTCACTGTATGTGCTCAATGTGCACACCGAGGAAGCAGCCACTGCCTGAATTAATTCATGTTTAGGGTTAATGCATGGAGCCAGCTATAGCAGTGTCAGTGATCAGGGGCTCCTGTGCAAAGAAAAATGTGGACTTCTGGGCAATGTGTGTGAGATTCTGTGCATGGAAACTTCTGCTCTCAGTGCAAGAAGGAAGGAAAAGTGCAAGATGTCCTAAGATTAGTACTAAACCCTCCCCCTATGCCTCCACCCTGGCTGCTGCTGACACATACATGGCAACGAAGTGGAGAAGGCAAGAAACAATTCATCAGTCTTCCTCTAGTTATCAGGGATCTTCCAATCTCTTTAACCTGTACTATTGCATGGGGAGATAACCCAAGAGGATAACCCAACAGGTGCTTGGCAGGATTTCATAGATCTCATAGA